CTACTGATGTCTGTGCACTGCATGTTCCAACCCTGTGAGTGCCCAGACTCCTTTTCTAAAGTGCTTTTATGGCCCCTCCCAGATCCCTATGGAACTGAGCATCTCATAGTCTTTTAATATGTTTTTTGTGACAGTGCCTTTGGAGTCATTGGGGAAATATTACCCCATTTTTGCAGATGGAACACATTAGATTCCATACAAAACACAGTGGTGGCAATTTCTTTCCTTTAAAACATATCTGTAACACACAGACACATTACTCCATCAGTTCAAATCATTAATCCTATATTCTCTGTTTAATAGATTTGTGTGTCTTTCAATGTAGGCAATGTCTTCATCTATGTCTTAAACAGTGCTTAATGAATAACAATAGTCATTGTTCCAGCCAAAAGCAGTACTGAACTGAAATTTCTTGTGAGACTGCCTCTGTCCTTGTGAGAGCTTTCTAGACCTATTTTTTACCCCCAGGAGTTTCAGTTCAATCTAGTTAATTTGGGTGTTGAACGGAACCAGCCTGAACCTCTGAATCTTTGGAGGTTCATCTATCACTGAATAATGCAGCCAGACAGAAGGAGACGGTTGAATAGAAGTCAATATGCCAACTGTTCCTTCATTTATTACTGCCATATTAATAAAGTTGATAGAGTGGAACTAATCCATCTGCTCACAATTTATTCCCTAGCAATAAGATACAATTTCACTATTGCATGAGCTCACTCTTTGACTAATTTTATTAGAATTCCTTCAATAGCATCATTTTAAATCACTTTTCATCCAGTTTCAGTTACGTGTAAAATAGTAGAAAAAGATGGACTAAAGGGACATGAAAGGATTTCATGAGAAACTGGGGTCAGCTTAAATAGAACCAGATGAAATAAAGTTAAGTCAGTGAGCCTATGAAGGCCAACAGAAAAGTGTCCAAAACTACCTCTTTCACAGGAAGCTTTGTTCTGTCATGTCCAGAATGTAAACAGTCAAAAGAAATAAGGCAGCCCCGGCAGCATCATAAGGTGAGGCAGGGCTGTGGTGCCTTAGGGGAGGCGGCGAGGTGACCTGCCAGGCTGGTCAGCAACACTGGCCAAAGGACAGCAGGGTCAGAGCTTAATGGATGGAGAGGTGTCCTCCCTTCTTTGCCAAGAACTAGTTAATGAGGTTTATCTCATCTACTAGTTCCCAGACACTTGGGGGCTCTGGATGTTAAAAGGATGCAAGATTTTTGCTATGTATTGATTGTATGCAATGCTAAAATGAATTCCTGTGAGCTTAGTTATATTTCTCTTTTTGTTTAGTTTAAAATGTTCTGATATGCTGATCTTTTATTAGTCTGGTAGGGGCAGTCTTCAGGGATTTGGGCTGGGTGCAATTTCAGACATGAGTACCTAAGCAGAAATCACCTGGTTTTTGAAGTGTTGAGCCCGCCATTCCCATTGATCGATAGGGGTTTTAATACAAATGCAAGAAGGACTTTTACTGAGGAAGCTGAGGGTAAAGCCTAGATACAGACATCCTGGGTGGGAGTTTCCAAAGCATTCCATTCATTAACATAAGCTTATTTCCACTGAAAATGATAGTTTCAGAAACAGCTTTGAATGGACAGAGTTGGGTTATTCCAGAAAAATTCTGAAAATCCTACCTTCCTATTTTAAAATGCCTTTTCGAGCTGACAGGTAGCAGCAGCTGTAGATACGAAAAGTAGCTTTATTTTTGCTATGTGGTGCTCTGTCACTGCTGGAGCACTGACCATTCAAATGAACACAGATGGACGTTTTGTCCCTATTCAATATGACTTTTCCCAGGAAAGTCGTGGGCTTCTTACCTTCTCTCCGTTTAACTGCTTCCAGTTTAGTGGGAGCTTATGGTGTTAATCTGTAGGCAATTACTGCAATTTCAGAGTAATCATTCTTTCATTAGGGTGGAGATGGTAAAAAGATACAACAGCGATTAAAAATCCATTAATAGTCAAATTAGATCTCTTAATCGAAAGCATAACTGCAACTACAACGGTATTATCTATATGACACTCATTCCATAGTATTAGCTGCATGAGTGTGGATCATCTTTATAATGCTGTCTTTATCTCTTTCTCACATACATCTATGTGATTTTAAAGCTAGTATTGTTTTTTTTTAATATTAATGTACACCTGAATGAAACTGTGTATTGAGAGGAAATACGGTGTGGTTATTGAAAGCTGAGCTAAACAAACAAAATTCTTATTAAATAAATGAATATAAATAAATGAATGAAATAATATATGCATTAATAGACCCAGACTATTAATTCAAGAAAATTGTAAAGTAGCAGGCTCAAAAATCTGTGTGATCTCTTAAAGGCTAAAACTTTATGAAGAATCAAGTTCACTGTAGTGTGCTTTGAATAGAAACAATTCTCACTTCACACAGCAGATGGACTCCAGAAGCGTTCACTCTCATAAGTGTCAACTGATGTTGACTGAAAGCTATCTAGATGTACAGAGGAAAGCTTTATTCCTCTTTTATTTGCCAAGGTCCAGAACATCTTCCGTAAAGATAAAAGAAAATTTACTAGTAAAACACCAAACTAGTCTTACAAAGAGTTGATTCTAACTGTGCCCTGAAGTACGTGATGCAGGGGAATTTTTCTTTTGATTCTAGTCCAGACATTTCAAGGGCCTTTTTATGTCTGCCTTCTAAAAATGAAGGTTTTCAGGGAGAATAGACACAGAGCAAGAGCTATCATTTAAGTTTACATGTCTGGCTCTAATCTTTGTCATGAGTGATCTTTTGTAAACATGGTTAAGATTACAAGATGTTTCATCTTTGGGCAAGGCAAGAAGGATGTCATGTTGCTGCAGCACCTGAAGAAAACTTTAAAAAATCTGCAGGCTGTTACAAAAGCCCTTAATGTGCCATACATTTGTGCAGCTGCAGTAGATCTGTGGCTGCCGCAGATTCGTTTTGCACATTATATTAAATATGTCAATGATGATAAAGGATTCATCTCCCACAAAAGTAAAGATGAAAGAAATAAGGCTTGTTCAGTGATTCACAATCTGTCATGATCCTATAGTTTTAGATGTGAATTACGTATTAAACACAAGCAGTGTCCTTTGAAATTCATGGTTTACCCTCTTCGAACACACAACGAAGTCAAAGGGAATCGGTGGCTTAGTTTGACCTGCATATTGATTGCGATTAGTAATAAACCAGCCACATGAAACTGTTGTTAAATATATTGCCCAAGGAATGCAATTAAAATCAATTTTTGTTTGTTTAAACACATACCCTGGGCAGAGGTATGAACAAGAAAATCCCTGTTAGGTTATTTTATAGCACTATGTTGAGAGCAACGGCAGCACATTCAGGAATTTGGGGCTTTCTCGTCAAGTCCTGTGCAAATTGTTTTACTGCAAGGTAGGAGCCTTCTGATGTTAACGTTAGTTGAAGTAACACTGTCAAATAGCTGTACAGTGTGTCCAGACCCAGAGGCTCCAAGACAACATCACAGTTTAACACTAGAAGATCCCATGCCATTCATTTTGCCATAACAGCTTTCCCGAGTTATAGAGCATTAAGCAGAGAACAGGACAACTGTAGGAAAGAATCCACACATATCTATCGTTTCTCTGACTTTTTGTGCACAAAAATGACCTTAACTCTTTGAAGTCAGTGGAAAGATTTTTTAAAAAAAAACTTTTTTCCCCCCCTACCATGGAATTTAATGAGATCAGAATAATTGTGAGACAACTGTTTGACTTTGATTTTTGATTGCATAATCGAGACCCACTAGTATTTACTAAATTCCAGCATGGATTAATAGCTCCATCTATGTCAATGGCACATATCCTATTAACTGTCAAGTTTCACCTTGACGATATTAGGACACAACTGTAGTTTGCTCATTGGTCCAACTTAGGTATAGCATCCTGGATGTAGCATAAGTTCATGGAAACAGTGAATGACATTACACGACAGTTGCCAAATTAATTTTAATATCATTTTAGAAAATAAAAATCGGCATATTTTGGTGAAGAAAAGACCAATTAATTTTTTTTCTTTTTGGAGAATTACATTTTTTTTATTCTTTTTCTTTTCAAGAATACTCCTTGAAATGAACACAACCCAGTAACAGTGTGTTTCCATTTGTGTAGTTTGATTGTAACTATTTGGTAGTACTAAGCATATGCAATTCTTTAAAAAGCCCATTGCATTAGTGGTCTCTAGATCTTTACTACATTCTATTGATTTAACAATCAGTCCATATTTCTGTATCCAGGCATAAACAGATAAAATATTTCTGTGTTAATCATGGGTCTTAGTGAACTCTTCTTTAACTGGAATGTGAAAAAAGATCAGATTCTTTTCTATGAAGAAAATTAATGAAAATGATAATGTTTTTAAACATAAATGTATCCTTTACTTATGTTACCCTTATTGTAGTGTCTGAGGTTTATTATGGATTGCATCTCACACGAAGACCCACAAGATTATATTTATAATTATATTAAATCCTTCAGTAAAAACTAGTAAGTTTGTGTAACCACTTTAGTAGCTCAAACATTTTCCCCTTGAAATTTTTCTTTTTTCTTTCTCTTTTACTTTATGTACCTCTATCTCCTGAAGTTAATTGGGGGCATTTCATCACAAAAATGTTTTCTGTATAAGTGCAGATATGCATACAAAATTGCTAAGGGCAAATAGGTAGAGATCATATGATAAGTACAGATAATATGACATTACATTAATGTTAGATATGTTTTCTTTAGTACATTTTCTAAATCTTTAGCAAATGTAGTATCATACACTTACTATGATTTGGGATAATTTATTACAAAATCATTGTCTGAGTGGGAAAAGGATTCTAAATTTCATATTAAAAATATGTATTGAAGAGCAAAGGATGAATGAGTTGCAGAACCAACCCCAAATGACTTTTTTCGCTTTAAATGTCCTCGAAGAGGATTTCAAAGTCATATGGATGGGTGCAGTGCTGTTGTTTTCACAGATTTCATTTTAATTCAGGACTGTGGTTCTCGAATTCGTCCAGAGGAGTCCTGTGGCTTGCAGCCTCTGTCTCATGAATACCTCTCAGCAATTTCACAGACGGTGTTTAAGACCTGCGAAGCTGGGGACATAAAAGGTTTGTACTTAATCCTCATTCTTCTAAAAATTAACTCATGCACCTCATCATAGTGAAACCAGAAACAATATTTCCTCTTTTCTATGGACATGCACTAACCTACATACAATAAATTTAATTTATCACTTGTAATAGTTACAGAATTTTGAAATCTGATTAGTTTATGTGACAGTTTAGTAAGTTTCTAATCAGTGATCCACCATTGCTTGTCCTATCGTCATGTAGCCTTTAAAATGCATTGAAATATTTCCATCAAAACCATTTAAAATAAAAATGCTTTATTCTAAATGGAAGAGATTATCTACTAAAAAAAAAAAAACCTTCAGAAAAAGAACACAACATTTTGATCCATTTAAATTTTATATTTCCACTCTATATCGGAAACACAAAACGAATTTACAATTTCAAATCATAAAGTATGTGTCTTTATGTATATTGGTGGTACCTTAAAGAACAAGATGGGCAAATCAAACATTATACAATAACCAATACAATCAAGACATCTCTTTGGTTTAGAGGGAACCCAGATTACAACAGATTGTCAGACAGCTATTCATTTTGAGGTCACAGCTGCATGAAGATTTATGCAAGTGTACTTTAAGAAATCTGAGTAATCCACAGGACTACTCAGGTATGCAGTCTTATTCGTAGTTTAAGTTGTTACTGGATTAGACAATAAGTAATTTTATTCAATTCTTTATTAGACAAATGAAAAATAACCCAACAGTCCTGTATGGTCTACTAACACTAAGATATTTTTTATCTTGCCATAGATAGAAGCAGCTTCTCACAACAGTAAATTTGCACAATCTAATGGAACAATCAATACAAAGTAAAAGGAAAGTGGCAACCGCCTGAATGCATCACTTCGTGTGACATGGAGGCATATATTAATTCTGTGTTATACGAGGGGAATGCACAAAGGAGACACTCTTCTACCTAGCAGCATATTTTAATAACACAGCAAGTTGTGAATCATAAAGAAGCACAACCCACCCTATGCTACTATATCAGGACATAAAGTTCCTGACTAGAAAGCGCAAACCAAATCCACAGAAGAATCCTTCTGGGGCAGCCAATCTGTTTCTCCTGATGTATAACATGCTTCTTTTGAATACTGCATCTAGCTAAGTGAAGCTGAATGTAAAATATCTTTTACAGCCTTATTGCCCATAATACACACGATTAAAATGGAAACAAACTTCAGGAGATGTAGTCTCAAAGGACAAGTATATTAAACAGGGAAGAATAATATCTGCTTACAAAGCGAAGATTGCCAAGAGGTGTCTAATGAGTATAAGACGGGGGTTTGCAGTATCTGGCAACAAGTGGCAGTATAGTTTTAATGTTCCAACTGGAACTGGAAAGCATGGCTTTTTGTGGAAAATCATTCCAGATTTGTAACAACCAAATGATATCCAAATCCTGGCAGGGAACACTTTCCTAACGCATAGGGGAGCAATTTCAAATTCCCAGCTAAAGCAGCAACATCTCTTTTACCTAAAAAAGTTAAGTTTTCAGAGAAGCCAAGCAATGTCGTTTCCTCTCAGAAGAAAACTCAAAACTTCTGCAGAAGTAAGGGAGCATCATACATGGCTCTTACGCCAGGGAACAGCTTAGTTGTATAGGGATACTGAAGTGCTATCGCAGCAAAATGTATCTATGCTGGCAAAAGCTCGTGTTTGTGCAGACATAGGCTGAGGCAGAGCAGCAGAGAGAGAGATGAAACCTTAGTTCTTCCGACATTAATGGTAAAACTTAGAAGTCTGCTTTGCAGTTCAGTACAATCAGGATTTCATGCCTCATTTCTAGCCCTTTGGTGCAGGGCAGAGACAGTAGTTCAGGATCTAACCAAAGGCTGAACTTGCTGCCTCCTGTCCTAGTCACCATGACACTATTCTTTGGAGGAAGCTCAGCATCTTGCCAAATATGCGCTTAATTTACACCATTTCTTTCTCTCTCTCTTTCTCTTTTATTTCTTCTCTTTTTTCTTTTCTTTTTTTTTTTTTTTTTTAAATTGATAAATACAAATTGGAATATTCAACAGGAGGAGTTTCTCTCTTTCCATCTTGTTTGGATCATGGAATGAAATTATGATTTTATAGCAACAAAAATCCTTTTTTCCTTCTGAAAATCTCCTTTGATTCAATAGGTTTTGAACCAGGTTATCATAGGAAAACTACCTCTCTGCTCAGTATTGCTGTATTATCAATAATAGAGAAGTCAGCAAGCACTAACCATTTGTTTGGCTCCTCAGAGAGAGAATTGAGAGACCATTAGAACCTCAAATTGTGCTAAATTCCTGTGGGTGAATTGGGCTACTGCAGTCTGTGGAAATTTTGTATGCAGACAATTACAAAATCTGGTGGGTAAGAGATCAGAGCTTTGCTTCTAATGTTCTGCCTCGCTGCTGCAACATACGTGTTTTAGTTCTATCCAGCTTTCCATATTTTCTGCAACTGTATCCAGTTTAACACAATTCTGTATGAGCTTTCTCTTTGCATTCACCAGTTATCTGGATTTAGGTCCAGCAGAAACATAAACTGATGTTCAATTAAAAGAGTGTCTGCTTTGAGTACAAAGAGTAAATTTCAGTTTGGACATAAGTTTGTATCCGTAAGGCCATTTATTCTGTAACATCAAAATAGTGTTCTTTTAGTGTTCTTTTAAAAATAATTTAATCTTTGTTATTCATAAATGCAGCTAAAAGTAAAAAAAAAAAAAAGTTTCTATACCCTATTCACAAATAAAACATTTTTTTAAAGTCTTAGGTTGCCGAATAGACACCAAATATAAAAGTAAACTAGTCATAAATCAACAAACCATCATTAGCATCAGTTTAAGTTAAATATTTAAATTTGGAGTTGTCGGTTTAGCATTTTTTTTTTTGCATGGATAATCATTTGGCATTATAGAAAAACTTTGATTTTGATCTTGAAAGTAAAATATGTGTATTTGTGGCTATGACAATGGGAAAGGTTAAGTAAACGTAAAAGTAAAAGAGGCTGAAAGCCCTGTCCAGAAGAAGTAGAACTATCAAATCAAGAGTACAGCCTTTATTGGTTAAAACTTTATAACTTTAGGCTAATATTTTTTGAATACAAGGTAAACAGTCCTAATGATTTTTTTTTAAAAGTGTATATCTTTTCATATCATTGCAGGAGAGCAGTTTATAGGAGCACCGGCAATGTTTTATCTCATATCTTAAGCAGAAGATTTATGTATGCAACTGATAAACTGCTTTAATGAGCCAAAAATCCAGTTTACTTTCATTCTTCCTGTGGAAACCTCTTACTCACAGACTTTCAAAAAACTTTGTTTTTACCAGTTTTTCATTTGGGGATAAACTTAAACTAACAGCAGCTCTCTGTTTCTTGCTGTCAGTGAATTGTAGGTAAACTTTCACTCGCCTGGTAGAGACGATGCTAACTCTTTTAGCTGAAGCACCACAAAATGCAGACTGATAGAAACGGTGCTGAAAGCTACATTGCGTGCTGCTACTTTACACAAATGGGGGGAAAAAAAGCTTATCATTGCAATAAAAAATAAGCCTAATTTCCAATCTAATATTGATGGTTTGCAATTTTTCATTGTTAATTGTCTTCCTCTTTTATATATGAGTTTCATTTTATCTTTTAACACAATCTTATTTTTGAGGCTTAAGAGTGCATTGACTAACTTTTGTGAAGTTGCAATAGGAAAAGTTAATTGGATTAAAAATGCATAAATGTACACGCATCATTTAAAAAATCTATACAAATATAGAAACTGCAACTATTCTATTAGAATTAAATGTCAGTGCTTCCTATAAACATGAGTTTATCTCCAGATATCCTTGTTCTCTTATTTTTTTACATTTTCCACTAACCTTTAGCATATGCCAAAAATGGATCTATTTTTTTCTTACTATACCTAGAGATTTATTGAATATAAATCAAACACACTATTCAAAAGAAGCTTTTCAAAAGGTACTTATCACTTTCAGTTGCCAAAGTTTAAACTTTTGTTGTTCAATTTGTTGTTTCAAACTCCCTCCATGGCAGGGGGGTTGGAACTAGATGATCTTTGAGGTCCCTTCCAACCCTAACCATTCTATGATTCGAATGTTTCAGCTCCTCAATATTCATTTTATGTGGTTCTATTTTTCTAGTTTATTACCTAAAACCAGATCCGCTCATAAAGGTATGGGATGTTAAGAATAAAATACCATAAAATTAAGGTTCTCAGATGTTGTAGACATTGCCAGAACTTTTACATACTTGGTTTGAAAGAAAAATTGCAATGTCATGAAAAAACTGCCCAGTTTTCATATATTTTTTTAATATAAACCACTGTCCAAAACAAATTTCCGATCATTTATGAAGAGCTCAACAGCTGTGCTAGTGTCTGAATCCAGACCTCAAATCAACCAACCATTCTGTCCCTGCTCTGCTACTCAAAAGGCATGAAGCCATGAAAGGTTTTTGCATGGTACCTGTTGCTGTGTTATCTGAGACCTTGCACTTTTCAGTCTCTTCACAGGACTGCTATGAAGCTGGGAATGACCCTTTAGCCATGGGCTGCAAATGAGGTGTGGAGGGAGTGTTGCAGGAGCCAAGGGCAAGATCCACAAGTGGTGATAGAAACCTTGGAGTGTCAAAGCATAGAATCATAGAATCATAGAATCATAGAATCATAGAATCATAGAATGGTTAGGGTTGGGGTCCCCCCCCCCCCTGCCATGGGCAGGGAAACCCTCCACTACACCACGTTGCCCAAAGCCTCATCCAATCTGGCCTTGAACACTTCCAGGGATGGGGCATCCACAACTTCTCTGGGCAACCTGTTCCAAAGCATGCCTGGCCCCCGTGGTGGTCAGGAGGCCACAGCCTGGGCGAGGGACCTCAAAGCCAAGGAAGGGCTAGTGTGAGGAAGGGATTCACAATGGTCAGCACTGGAGGCTGCAAGAAAGAGGAACTGTCTAAATTCAGCCTTCGCTTTCCAGCTGAGGGCTGGAAGAGCACTCTCTGCTCCAGAACCTGGTTATACCACTGTATATCTTTAGGTAAAGATTCACTTTAACTTCTAGATAAAAAGTCTACACAGAATCTCACCCAGGGAGCAGAGTTTGGATCTTTTTTCTCCCAAATAAATTACTGGGTTACAATCATGCTATTTTTCCCCGTTAATGGATTTTGAACTTTAAGGCAGTCCTCAGGTGATGAGAAGAGTGAGGAGCGTTGTCCCTGAGGACAAACAGCTGGGTGATCAGGAAAAAGGTGACACAAGCTGGGAACTCCTCTGGGCGAGGAGAGCAGGGCAGCTCCATCTCCTCGCTCGCAGCCCAGCTCCGGGGCCTGAGCACCCCTCTTTCCCCTCCCTACGCTGTTTGCTGGGCTACCATCAGAAACCTGGCTGTGCTGGCAAGGCCAGATGGCATTGACACAGGGACCTGGGAGCCTCCGTGCTTTCCTGTGTGTGATGCCTCTAATCAGAGGCAAAAGCAGGTTTTACTGGCAGAGCTACGGAGACGCTGGGAGAGATGGTCAGGATAGTTCGCTTGTACGGGCGAGAAGAGTATTTCTTGTGTTGATCTGAATATAGAGGCAACTTAAAAGTTTTCTTTCTTCCTTCAGAAGCTAAATACCTCTGACTTCCAGGAGGACTTTGAAAAACAATAGCTTTAGAGAACCAAAATACAAAACCATTCGATCTGAGGTAGAAGATGCCTAAAACCCATGGAATTCTTGTAAACCCACTTTATGCTCCTTATCTGTAAAATCATTTTTGAAAATAGGGATTTCCTATTCTCTCACTCATCCCACTGCGGGGGAGTGAGCAAGTGCCTGTGTGGGGCTTAGGTGTCAGCTGGGGTTAAACCATGACAGGCTCTAATAAATCACATAGGTTATTCATCTCACCTTCTGAAATGTATATTTGTAGTCTGGGATGGGTCTCTGAACTCTCACAAATTAAAGAAATTAGTATTTCTGAGGGAAAGTCATCCTTTCTCATTATCTGTACATTATCTGTATAATCTTAGATTCTTTTTTCTATCGAGGGGCTCTCAAAATCCATCTTTGATCAACCACCCAACATTTAGATGTTTAGTGGTAGATGAATGAATCTTGTCTTTAGGCACTTCTGAATGTGAATATTTTCTCTTCCCATTCAACCTCCTCACCTCCTTTCCCTTTCTTGTACATCTTCTGTGGAGAAGGGACAAGCTGCTAACAAGAAAGGCGACATGAACTGAGAAATGAACCTACACGTGACTGTCCAATTTGGGCATTTGCAGCTCTTTCATGGAAAGAAAAAACTCCCATCTTTGATAAATGAAAAGGGCATAACACAGAGGAAGGAAATGGTGTCTTCGAAGGATTGGAGGGCATTTAATTTAGGGAAAACTCCCATGACAAAATACTCAAAAATATCTCTCTTGCTGTATGATAAGGCTACTCACAAAAACACAGATGAGATGCTGACATCCTGTTGGTGTTTTCCAGGGCAGTGGATCGTCCCTTGCCTCAGCTGCTCTGACAACAGGACCTGCGACTGGGCCGCCCCGAGGCCTGCCGATACTCTGTGCTACCCAAGCCTGAGCTCCAGCGCTGCGTGGAAGGCAGGAAGGTGTGCAACAAATTTTGCATTTTAATTCAGTTTTATTTACCTGGATATATAGTGTCCTGAAGCTTTAAAAACAATTTTATGATTGGTGTGTAAGAAAAATCCCTTTTTATTATAATTGGAAAAAGATTCAGATGGAAAATCCACAGGGATGAAAACCAACCATTATCCACATTTTAGCCTCGAATGCAGACACAGTCGTCTGCTACCATTTTTCATAGAGCTTAGGTCACACCAGTGGAGTTTCAAGACCTATGGGGTATGTGGTTACCAGTTAGAAGTGCAGTGAGTATATAAGGACTGTAAATGGAGGATGGATTTGCACTGTTCTCACAGTTTGTCTCACTTGACATACAAGTTGGATTTCTTCTGCTGCGTACCTAATGCATGGCATTGCTTGTGCACACTAATCTTACCAAGTCTTCTTGCACATTCTTTTCTTGTAGTGAAGCTTCTAAGGTGATTGCTTGGAAATACAAGGTCTCCTTAATAAGCATGCTATGACAATAAAACTATTGAGAGAGCTCTGATCTGAGGCTCAGGTACCTTACTGAGGATACAAGTATCCAGAAAGTAAGTAATGAATTGTTATAAAGATTTTTGTAGTGTATTGTCTAGGTAAGAAAATAGTAACTAAAAGTGGGATTTTGATAAAATCCAAGAACATTTCTATATGAACAGATACAAAAATAATAGTCTTTCAATTAACATTTCCTCCTTCTTTTCTAGTCATTTCTTGTCCTGCACGAAGTCCTTAATTGCCATTTGGCTTTATTTCTGCCTGTGGTTTTCTCCGTTAATATAGAGCTGTGGGTAACTCCTAACATATTTTTCTAACAAAACAGAGGTTTATATGACAGAGGAGAAGCTCGATTTGCTCCTCATGTACAAAACAAGCACTTCTGAATTGACCACAGCAAAAAATATAGAAAAATTTGATAGCTATGCTTTGGTCTTTAGTTTCCATAGACATTGGGCTGCTTCAATAAGCAAACACTCTTTGGTCAGATGATTGAAGGATAGCAGAGGAACAATATGCCACTATGGAAGTGGATTGCCAGGGTATTGCTGGGAGGATTATGCTGACATTCCCATCTCCTGAATCTGACCACTTGTGTTCACCGGTGTCAAAACCAGGACATTTGTTAAGGGTCCATTAAAACCAAGTATATGAAATGAATGTTTGTGAGCTTGATTTCTTAATTCAAATTCCACTATGTTCTGACTCTCTGAGGTCACTGATCTATTCTAGTGTCAGATGAGAGCCAGATCCTATGTGACCTACATTAACACTACGTGAGAAAAATCTCTGTAAAACTAATTGCACTTGTTTCCCGTTCAGCATCTTTTGCAAAAGTCTCTCATCATTGTCTGATAACCTTCACTGCTCTGTAGAAATCTACTGGATCATTCCTGTTGCCTTTGCATAGATGTCCATTTAACTGGTTTATTCTTTTAAAGTCGTCACTACTGCATGTTCCCCTTTTGGTATGCTTCTCCTGTATCTTTCGCTCTGATGGGTTTTTTTTGTCATCACTTTGAAGTGGTTTTAACTTCATGTGGCATTTTGCAATAGCCTTTTTACTTCTTTCACCAAATAAATAAATGTAGAGCCTGGACGAACTCCTTTGTGTCAGTAGAACTTAAGAACTAAGATAGTCTTTCTTTATACCTAAGTTAGATGAGTAAAAATGGTCCTCAGCTTGAGTGGTAAGGTCCTGATTCTGTCTGTGATTAAGACAAACTTTAGAATTACTTTACACGGTCTAAGCAATTTAATAAAAGTAGTATTTTTTTGGACTGTCACTGAAAGAGACTTTTGCCTGTTAGTTGTATTATATGCTATTATATATGTCTAAGCAATCTGGATCTTTTATAAGGGAGCTGTTGAATAGATAGTAAGATATATTTTTTGTGAACAAACACATTTTTATTATACAAGAGATTTTGCTAACAATCTAAAATGTGGGGTTTTTTATTTTTATTATTTGTTTAAAACCATTATATTCTTGGTCTTTAGGCACTGACTTCTACCCAAAATAACAACATCATAGTTTCTGTAGTAAAATAAGCAGAAAATTTCAAGACTGGAAATGTAAACAAATTGCAAAAAAAATGTAAGTGCAAACTATAAGGGCAAAAATCATCAACCCGAGTGAGGACTCTGAGATGACCTAGAATGCTGTTTGATTTATATTGTCACTTGCTGAAGTTCAATAAGAACAACAACTCACACATGTATCCACTTCTCAAAATCCACTCAACTAACCTGTGTGCCCCTGCATTCTGAGGTTTTGTAGTATGTTGCCACACTTAGCATATTCAGCTTGTGTAACTTTGGTCTCTGGAGTCCAAATCCTTTAGAAAGGAGTCATGTATCATAATCTACATTTTGCAGCATCAGAGGCAAAGTCCTTCCATCAGAACTGGAAGTAACCATGAGCTCTCTCAACCCAATTCCATTTTCTTACTTGCAGATCACACAGCATCTAAATTCTTGCTCGAAGTTTATTCTGAAATAAGGCAATAAAACTCCATGCACCCCACATAATTACCAATCCTTCCTCAGGAAAGCAGATATAGATGTTTATAGCATCATTGGATCAAATGACGTCACACCTTCCATTAAAAAACTTAACAGCCCTTTATGACTGAATTTCTTTTCTGAATATGCTTCATAAAAAGTTCAGAGTCATGCAAGATTTGACCAGGAATCAAAGGTAAAGCAAGTATTGGCATTTGTAATTCACTAGACATAAGTCTCTGATTTTCGTCCTGAAAAAACGAAAAAAGCAATTTGGATTCAGAATCCTGACCTGCTGGCTTTACTTCTTATGGTTAAAACATCATGATAAAACATTATAAACAATGTAAGTGTCTGTGATTATGTCTTTTCTTTTAAATAGGTGTTAATCACTATGTGGCTGCCAAATTCCAACTATGATATCTGTAGGCTGTCTTCTTAAACTCCGCTATTAGTTTTATATGCAAAAGAAAGAAAAAAAAATGCTTACTTGACTTTCTACTTCTAATAAATGTGAAGGGAAGTGTGTGATGAGTTAACCACTGATGTGCTGTGTCTCTGGTCTAGGTGCACTACAGCAACTGATGAAATAAGATGTACAGTGAATACTCTTTTTGGCTGAAATGCAGCACATGTAAAATCAGCAATATGTTTGAGTGCAACCATTCAGGTTTTCCCATGTTTCATAGGACAACAGTAAAATGCAGCATTCAGCTACTTCTCTTGCTCATTAATCTCTTTTATGCATTTGTCAATGTTTCTGAAATATGTTTATGGTCACCCAAACAGAGCATTTCTTTCCTATCTGCATCATAAATAAGCATTCAAAAGTGCTTTTTAATTTGTTTTATAACTCCAGGCTGCTTTCATGTCTTACATTAAAATTTATTTGTTTTTCAAAGCTCATCTCTAAAATTGTCATCTCCTTTCTCTATAACAGAAATTAATTTTCCCTGGCTATAATTTCCAATTGATTTCACATCATCATTAGCTGCTATTTTAATTTGTGTGCAAATAAAACAGTATTTGAGCTAAATTGTTTCTGTTTCATAAAAACTTAAGGCCACCTGTAGTGAAACAATAACACTCAGATTGGTGGAGACATAAGAAAGGATATATATCCACAAAAACAGTTTATGAGGCCTTATTTTGCTTTATGATGTGTTAGCAAGACTAGCCAGTCATATGTTTGTATTTCAGACACAGTAAACACGAAAATTTTGAAGTGTTGAGGCTAAGGTGGTTCTGGCTGAGTAGATTTTCATTCAGTCCACTTTTAATATCTGCAGTCCTTTTTCTCCTCCGTTTTAAACTCTAGCTAAAAGTAACAAGATGTAGGCTGTGTTGCTCTTATGGAATTCCACATATGTGCCCTAAGTGAATCAAAGAAAAAAGCAATCATAATAAAAATATTATATCTGTATTATATTGGCTCAACAAAATCCTCTGTAGCTGTGGTTAATGAGTTTTTGCTGTAAGATTTATAAAATTCTATTAAGACATAATGCTTTGGTTTTTGTACAAGAACTTTAAAAAATGGGTGAAGGAAAAGGAGTTCTAACAGGTAATTATTTATCCAGTTAACAGCATAGAGAAAGCTGGCCTCAATAGCAGAGGGGATATGTATTTCATTTATCATTGAGAAACGCTACTCAGAGTTTATTCCTATAATAAAGTACCATTGAGTCATGTGTAATTAAGAACAGGAAATATGAAAAGGCAATATTTGCTGAAGTACTTAAAATTCAGCTGTTAAAACAGGAATTTTGACTTATAATTTCTTAATAATATTTTAGAGTTAAGTAGTGTTTTGGACTTACAGGTGTTTAAATTTCCTAAGTGTGGTTAATTTATAATGATAGGTCTGGTTAAGAAGTGAATTCCACTATGCTTACACAATCTTTTAGCCTGTAAGCTATAATGGATTTTTTCACACAAAATGGTTGCAACAGAAGACACTGAAAACATCTGTCTGTGTGAGTGTTGTTCTTTGTCTGGTAAAATTATAGCCTTATATATGTCTGATCCTTTAGTCATCCTGCAGACAAATCGCCCATTGACCTGAACAGTACATGACTAAGCCTTGTGCCAGACTGTAAAGAAAACAAGATACGGCATATTTTACACACCTGAGACATCATTTTGTTCATTATTGTCATAGAACTAAATACAGAAACATCCCCAGAGCCCCTGGTTCCAATTCCAGTCATAATTAATACTACATGTCATGCACAACTATAGTAAGTCCATGCAACTGTATAGAAAGAAATGTGGCCACAGCTACCACACATTCAATTACATTGACTAATTATTCTAATTCATTTAAGCTCTTGGCTTAGTTGAAGGACATAAATTTTCTTCCTGGGGCTATACACCTCTTACTTCAGCCTTTGGGTCTTCTAAGCATTTTCTGTAAGTGAAGCTGACTTGCAAAATGTGGATGCTTTGAAAGATGCTTTCTGATGATCTCCATACCACAACAAAATGTGCTTAACCAGCTCTGCACAAGGGCAGTTTGAAAGCTACTTTACAGGTAGGATTCCCTACAAATGTCCTCTTCTTCCATCTGGATTTTTTTTTAGGGAGAAAAAAAAAAAGAATTTGTCTATTTTTCCAGGATTTACACATCTCACAGCATGGTTGGACCAACAGAAGCAGATTGATGGATGCAGACAGGTCTTAATGAACGGATGCTCTGTGTGTGCAGATTTTCTGGAGATGTGCTATGCATCCACCCTCCTGGGAATGCATTGGATTACAAGGAATGCACACCCATCTTTTTATTTGAGATCTTCTCTGGGCTTACGGGAGAGCATGCCCTTTAAAATACCAGCACATGCAGTCTCCTGAGTGTGACTGCTGATGCCTTCCTGTGATGACTGCAAACAGACTTCAGCGCTCTCCATCAGGGCTGGAGGGCAGGGACCATAGGTTTCACATACCGCAGTCCTAGTGTCAATGACATATCTTTCAACAATGCTGTGATTTCACTGTGAAAGAAATAGCTAGAGTTAAAACAGATTTGCATTATTCCAGTGATACAGTCCTAGTATGGCTCATACCTACTTGAACAGTCAAAGACTTCTTGACTGAAAACTAATATGGTCGCTATAATTGACTGCCATCTTCGAGGATAACCTACACTTTTGATCTGGCTTTCTGTACAATCACAAGTCCACTTTGGCTCATTTCTCTTTTCCCCACTTACATCAAGTCTTAACTACTATAGAATCATAGAATGGTTAGGGTTGCCCAAAGGCTCATCCAGGGCACTAAACACTTCCAGGGATGGGGCATCTACAACTCTTCTGGGCAACCTGCTCCAGTGCCTCACTACTCTCAGAGTGAAAAATTTCTTCCTTATATCCAATCTGCCTTCTTTCAGTTTAAATCCATTGCCCCTTGTCCTATCACTACACGCCCTTGTAAAAGGTCCCCCTCCAGCTTTCCCGTAGGCCCCCTTTAAGTACTGGAAGGCTGCAATAAGATAACCCTGGAGCCTTCTATTCTCTTAGCAGACTTGTTTCTGAGGATTCAGGTTAATTTCCCTAGTGAAACAACCTGTATTCCTCACCAGTGTGATGTTGCTGTCTGTTGCAGTCCTGACTCATCCTGCTCAAACACATCATCTCCTAGGAACACATATGCATTCACAGATGGACACCCAGACACTCCGTGGTATTAGCTGTCTGATCTACCTCCTGGCCTCCTGGTTTACCTCTTCACAAGCTTACTTAGGAGTGAAAATGGAGATGATCTGAGACTTAGAAGGTACTCCTTCAGAGATGGGCTGTGTGCAGTATTATCAGTCTTGTGATAAAATTTAAAGAAGTATGTCTGGGCCCTAACAGTTATGTTTTGTCCAGTTGTACTGACTGCTCTAAAGGAATATACTCTGACTTCTGTCAGCCTCTTCGTGTTCTCAGAACATCAGGACAACAATAGTACTATTTTAAGGCCACCTGATATTTTTGTATGATGCCCAGCATCATGGCATTTAAGGTCTAGAACTGCCACTTTAAGATGTGATCATACCTAACTCGTCTCTCCTGGTACTGTTTTTTTCACCACTGCACGTTGTCCTCCCATCTGCAGACCTGGCCAGATAGGTACCCCAGGGCAGACTTGAAAATTCACTCATGGATCCACTGCTTATGTGTGTGTGTATGTGCAGGTGTAGAAATGTTGAAGCCCTACAATGCTAAAGTATTTAATAGCGTAAAAAAGGAGGCAGGGAGAGGGAGCTGCTCTAATTTTGGCATAACAAAAAAATGGGAAAGAGGCTGATGAGTCAATCTATCTTTGATGCTTTGCAATGTTTGAGACTGGAAATATTTAGAATGCCACTTCACATGTAAATTGCTAAAGAATACACAGTGTTGGTAAAACACGACAATGAACACACCATGTTCATTGGTCTTGGACGTGGTTCTTCTCTCCTTTTTTTCCATGAAGGGTGTTGCTCTGCTCTTTGAATTCACCGGCAGATCAGATTAGACCAAATACAGTTAGAAGGAGAAAATACCTATCAGAATCTTAGTCACAGTAGAATGAAGAGTGAGATAAAAATGCCACATCTACCATATCAGTGTTATAGCTGAATACGCCCCTTTGCAATTAGAAATCCCCATGGGCAGTGATAACAAAATGGTATCATATGTTATTAGAAGCAGAGGGAAAACAATCTAACATGTTCTACCAACTGCTCTATATGCTTAACCTGGTAGAGCTTGTTTTTTGTTCTCCTAGTGCTGTTCTTTGTTTTTATAGACATGTTCTCACCCACATTGCAAGTTAATGATATCCTTGCCTGCTAATATCTGAGAACAGCTTTTTAAATAGATATACATCTAGATACCACAGTGATGGATTTATGAAATGAAGATTAAAGAGACGTTGATATAGATAAACTGGAGAGATTAAGAGATTTTGCAAGTTAAAAGAATTGTTTAAAACCTCGAGTTAACCTACTTTAGAATTAGGACATATAGTAAGCGTGGACTGTCTCTCTAATTGCAAATAATTGTGTGCATGTTTGTGTCTGTCAGGGAGGGGAAGAGAGAATATCCAACCAGTCCTTCCAAGGATCTGAGGATCCTTGTCTTCTGTGAGTCATGTCAAGCTTGGTTTAATGGATTTCTTCTGACACAATGTGAAAAGAGTTGGAAAATCCCGTGCATGTGAGAGAAGTGCTTGTGCAGGCCAAGCATGAACAGCAGCTGTTTAAGAATTTACTCTATGAAGCAGCTTTGAGAGATCCAGGACAGGAGGTAAAAGAGCCTCTATATGCTCAGTGATGGCTTTAATTTGTTTGCTACCATATATAATCTATTAAGGGCTTCTCTGCAGCCCACAATGACAAGACATAGGAAGCTCAAGTTCTTGTCACACCTATTCTTGGCCCTTGCACTAGAGCAGGGAATGTTCATACAAAACTATTTCTGTTCTCTGGGAATCATCATTGATACACTGTTGTGGCTTATTTTTATTCACAATAGGTTCATAGTGGGAAGTGGAATTAGTTCCTAAAACTGTGACATTCCTGAAAGGAATAGACAAATGGAGATTCATTAGATAAGACAAGTCCAAGATGCTTTCACCACATAAAATCTCTTTGGAAAAATATTCTTAAACATGTAATCTTGTGCAGTCTGAATTTTATTTGCATAACCAAATATTCAAGGTGGAAGTGGTAAAGCATCAAACCTCAAATCAAATTTAAAAACCAAACAATAAACCCCCAACTTACAGGGTGCCAACTACCCTGAGTGCTAAAGGAGGTAGGAGAGGTTGCATACTGCTGTGCAGAGAACAGGGTCATTACTGTGTTATGGCTCTATGAGGTTTCTGACTCCCAGTTTTGCATTTATGCTCCTCTATGTGGATTTCTGGCTGAGGTGACTGTACTAATAACTGATTGCACACACAGTTTTATTGGCACACCACAGTGAACCTGGGTTCCCTTCTCCTTTGGTCTCTTGTCATTGCTCATATTCCCTTCAGTAGGAGGAAATGCTAGTCCTATCCACTAAAAATATAGAAATTGCATTTAAAAAAACCCCACACGTTAAGTTCTGTGGTCTCCACATACAGAGATATTTGATTTGTCAGGAGAGTCTGCAGAATGAGTAGGAGGAAGCCCAAATTTGACTTTGTCATTCATTTGCAAGTTCAGAGTAGCCCAGCAAAGACTGCTGATACTTGAAGTACTTCTGTCATCGTGGTGACACTTCTAACTCCCTGCAGGCCACAATGCTTCCTGGTGGTCGCATCACGCATGCTAGGACTGTCTTTAAATTCTCTACCACCAAAATACTCTCCTTTTTTTACCCCTCTGAAGAAGGGGTAAAAGAAGAAAGACCATCTCTCTACAAATAAGGCAGCAGCTGCATTCATTGATGTGCGTGTTACTTTGGTGTAAATTCTCGTGAATACTGAAGACAGACGTTAACCAAAACGTGCTGTGTAGGAACGAACCACATTAAAAACTGGAGGAAGGAAAGCAGAAAGCTGCAAACAATCATGAGAGGCTCTGTACTAACAACTGGAAGTAAATATAAACTCAAGCAAAAGAAATTAGCAAGGATGAAAAATAGAGGACTAACTGTGTAGCTATAGCCATCTCTAACCTGTACTTTTTGTCTTTGAAACATATAGTATCGCTTTTTGTTAATCAGATCACAGAGATTTTGCTAAAGAATTTTAGTATTACAATATCAGATCTGGAGAACTGGCAGCTCACACAGAGATTTCTTGAACATAATGAAAAGAGTTTAAAAACCTCCAAACTAGCTGTATTCTTTCCTTAGCTTCTGGGTTTTGGGGTGTATAACTTCTAAGTAAGTCATATCTTTTTTTTCCATTCAAAGATTCTTTTTATAGGTGACTCGACTAACAGAGGGATGATGTACTATCTAATAGAAAGAGTGAATACGACTCTTCAGGAATGGCAAAAGACTCATGATGTTAAATGTTATCATAATATCAACGAGGGGAAAACATTTATCAGTTACTCCTACTACCCCCAGTTTTGGATGAACACAAACCAGAGACCAACTTTTGAGAAAGCACTAGAACAACTGCTGCAGAGGTACCGTACAAAACCTATTGCTGCCTTGTTTGTATTCTCATTCTATTCACAAACGTGTTTAACACATTTTACAATTAAAGTCAGTAAACAATTAAACATAACGTGTGCAGACCATATTGTGTGGTTGAAAAATAGCAGAAAATTGCATCAGGCCTCTGATCAGGATGCCAGATACAGTTCACTGAAATGCAATGCAATGCAGTTAAAATGTTTGCCATCTGTTTTCAGGCAACATGTGTTGTTTTTCCTTTCTGGGTTTCAGATCACGTCCCCTGGAGAACACAGACCAGACCGTATTAATTGTAGGTGGTGTTCAGTGGCTTAATTCCAATCACCTGCAAATTATCCAAAAGGTGTTGAACAGGTAATGTTACGTACGTGGTGTTATTCCAAGTCTGGATATGATGAATTATGAGAAACAATAAAAAAATTTAAATACAAACATTTTATTTGTTTTTTCATGGGTGTGCACTTAAGTAACTTTAAAAAAATTAAAATGCAGTGTCTTTTGATGTGTCTGTTAAGTAAAATGTTTGTCCTTTTTTTATTTTATTTGCCCAACAGGGAAAATCTATCAAATATCCTGGTAATTATCAAATCCATAGGGATGGGCTTTCACCTCCCAGTGGATGGAATACATTCTCTATCACAGGTAAGCTACAGTATGTTTAGAGTGCATTTTCATGGAAGACTTGTCATTTCAGCAATAATTTTGCTGTCTGGTCAAAATATGTTACAACTTCTGCTGAGTAAGTTTTAAGTGGATCAAAGATTAACGTTTGTGTTTGCTCATACGGCTTGTTAAGACGGATTCAAACCAATTTACCTTATTTGGTGGATTCTGCTGCAATCAGTGTGCCATTCAAGATGCCATGCTCAGTCAGCCATCCCAGGAACTAGAGGCAGACCTGGTATTAAGCCTGCTGCCAAAGTTGAGAAATCCATCTGGAGATTGGCAGATTGCTTCTCATATCACATCAAGCACAGGCTCTTCTCAGGCTTCCTCCATGGTTACTGCTGGATCAGATCCCCTGGTCTGGCTGCATTGCATGGCTCACCATAAATCTGTCTTAACCAACCGATGAAGCCAGAACATTACAGAGCAGCTGAAACACACCGGTGAATCTAGCCTGTTATTTGTATATTAATCAGATGTTACAGTCAGTTTAAATCATATCCAAGACTGTCAGAGTAACGGATGGGCTCGTTTCAAAGTGCTGTGTAACTCACTCGATTCCATATTTTTATTTAAAATTTGGATGGTGATTCTCTATTGAACACATACAAAATGTGTGGATGCAACAGGGCTGGGAAGCACCGGAGGGCAGAACGGAGTAAATGATGCCTACCAGCACTGTGTGTAGCACTCCAGCTGTTCACAGGTGTTGAAAAGAGAAAATTATTAGTTTTCATAGTTTACATACAGCACTCCTATCGCACTGGGGCTGACGCCCATGGCTTTTTCCAGCCATAACACACTGCTGTATTCAGTGCGTGATGTGCTGTTACTCTCACCTTTGGTTTTGCTGTGGAGACTGCCCTGTCAGATGGTGCCCATTCTGCCCTGTCAGATGGTGCCCATTCTTTCTGTCTAATTTAGTGTTATCTAACTTGTCTGTACTGAATGGCGTCTGATTGATTTCAACCACTTCCTTAATTTATCCGGATGACCAAATTAGTATACAGTAGGGAAACTGTTGGTATCAACATGAAGAAATGTTGTCATATCTCCTGCCATAGCCTTCAACAGAGTTCAATCGTAGGAGAAGGAAGCAGAACTTTGATCAAAGGCAGGTGAGGCAAGGATAGAAAGAGTATTAAAGGCTTCTGAGGACTTCCTTTCTCTGCTCTTCATCCAGTAAATTTATAAAACTCCAGAAATCAACTACAGTGCATAACCAGCATTATTTTCCCTTTCAATATTGGATCATATGCCAAATTACCCATGTGGTTTGGGTGCTCTGGATTCCTGGATTACGCCAACTACTCTCAAAGCCCTTCTGTCTTCAGTGTCAAATCCACTGCCTTGTCAAATTTATGGCTAACCTTTTTTCTATTCCTAGCCTTCTTCCAGTAGCTTGAGAAATAATAATCTGCTCTTCAGTACAATCATTTCTAAGATACCCATGGCCCTATACTCCTCTTTAAGCAACAGTCTCAATGATTTTGTTTTGAAGCTAAATATTTCTTTACAGGAGCAATTTCACAATTTGTTATAGACAACATTTAATGGGACTTTTTTTCTGCGTTACACCTCATACTAGCTTACTACATATTAAAAACTGTTACTAATTAATTGTATTTTAAACATTTAAATCTTCCTATGAAGGAAACTGCACAACTACTGAAAAGTAATTACACTTCCTGCAAAAACCTGCAACAGTCTTGGAGTAAAACTTGTTTTCAAGAATGAATTTATAGTAATTCATGTCTGGAATATAACTTAATTGCTTTATTCAAAATGCAGTTTTACTATTAATTTCCATGTCAGAATACAACAAACTTTAAACAGTCCTTCTGACAAGATATTGCAATACCTTATCTGGAATGCAGGCAGAAGTACAAAACTTGTGGAATGAAAACTTGGTTATTCTGGATACAGCAAAAAATTTTGGCTATGAAGTTGTTGACACATTTGTCATCACCATGGGACGTTACAAAGAATTCCTGCAAGGGAAGTGCGGCTGCCATTTCCATGAGGTAATATTTTATGCTTATATCATTCCCACGTATTTAAGAGAGATTTTAACTGTCAGGTGCTTAGAAACAAAAAGGTATGCAATGAGGTCCGCATCCATGACTCCGAGTTAGGCCTGAATAAAAACCGTGGAGATAGCAGTTTGTATGGCTGCACTTGTCCCTCGCCGCTCAGAGTGCAACGCTGGCTGAGGGCGGGCTGAACTGCTGTAGTGGTGATACCTTGAAATAAAAACAGGCACGCTCCTCTGCAGAGGCAACCTGTGTAAGAGGATGTTGTGTGATTTCCAGGTTCTTATACTATTTGCTATGCATTTTGTATCCCTCCTGCTTCTGCATGGACTCAGTTTATTTTTTGCCATACCTCAGTCTCACAGGTTTTTGCCTGAAGCCTTCCTAACTGAGCGGGTTAGCAGACTCCCAGCAAACCCGATGTACATTTAAAATGGAGCTTAAAATGGAAAGACCAATCTTACGACTATGTATCTGTTTTTATATGTCTGAGAAAGAGTTATCTGGGATGGTTATAATGACTGACTATACAAACAGAAGTCTAAGTTGCTTGTTTTCACTTATGCCTGTAGTTCTGTTTTCTTTTTTGTCTGAAATCTGTAGAAATTGTGTCTTCTGTTTTATAATTACTGGACTGGTGAAATAGGGACATGGTAAAATACAGGAGCAGGGCAATTGGGAACATAGTCTTCTTTCCATTCGAAGTTCTGGCAAGGAATCTTCATAGCATATTACAAATTACAGGAGTCCATGGATTAAATAAAAAATTAATAAGAAAACACATTATTATATCTAGGCACAAAATCAGACCAGAGGCTGCCAAACCAGTGAAAGTAAAGAGTTTGAAAAACAAGATATTTAAAGTTTTTCTGGTTTCCTTTAAGATGTGTTTTGAGTATGTGGTATGTCTTTTTAAAGTGAGTGCTCTTCCCTGTCAGCAAAGGAGGGATCTCGTTTAGTTTTGTATTTCTTGTACCTTACATATAGCAAATAAAGAAGTGCACCTCTGGTTTGGTGCAAGCGACTCTGAATGAAAACAGAAAGTATGATTTTTGAGTAGTCAAGTAAGCAGGCACTTTCTGCCATAAGACTGATGTCAGTAATTTTGCGTATGATAGTTAAAGAGGTGCCACCAAGCCAACTGGACTACTTCTGTAGCTTCCAACAAAGTCCTTCCTCACACCAGTGACACCAACTTGTTGGTATAAATGGCTGGTTCCCAGGTTTCTGTAACGAGTGGTCCGTTTGCTGAGAATCCAAACACGTCATTCATTGCCCTAAGGAAGATCCGTGAATAGTACATTACTCCCTTTGGAAACCAGAAAGAGCTTTGAGGAATAAAGGAGGCTGATATCTTTCCAAGCGTTCATCTCTTCATCCTCAGTAAATAGTATTTCTTCAGCAAAACCTTTGGTCATGCACTCAGACATTATCAGTAACCCCATGCTTCAATTCGTTGCTGGCTATAAGGACAGAGAAGTCTTCTGGTACCTCTATAGATAAAGTCATGTTTAGCACAGTAAGAAATTGTCTGTGATGATACAAGGATCTTCATTCTTATGAACTGAATCTGGGTTGTCTGTTTAACAAAAGACTAGGAAACTACCACAAATCATTCCATTAAAATCTGTTTAGGACCATAAAACTTGAACTGTCATATCTTTCAGAGGACTGGATTTCCTCTGCATGATCAAAAAAGAGATGATAGGTGCAAGTTCTTTCATAGAATGAAATATAGAATGAGAAGACATTGTTACCCAAAAGTTAAAATGGGAGGGAAAAAAGGATGCAACGAAAGACGTCTCTTTGAAACCAAGAGTTAGTGAATTTATGGTGTTTCACAGTCAGCTGAGAGCTTTCAGTCACTAAGAAGCTACTAGTTGGATGAAATCTCAAGAGTTTGATTACTGACTAGAATAATGACACAAGCAATTTGATGTATCGTTTAGAAGACAGAACTCCACAAGTTAATTTTTATGGAGAAAATCCTAGAACTTTTTATATTAGAGTTATCAGAAAGTGTATAAATATTAAAAAAGACTATCACTCACACAAGTGAAATGCTAGCATTTTTCCAGCATGAATCTAGGAACTTGTTTTCTGTCAAAAGAAATTACTTCAAATAAGAGAGATCACCAAATGTTTTCCAAATCTCTCAGGAGAAGGATAAAACCCCTTTGCTTATTTGCCAAGTCATGCCTATTTTTCTGTAAGCCTCACTCATGGCCAAGCCTGTTCACAGGACCTTGACATGTACAGCATTAGCACAGAAGCTCTGTAGCTTCACAGGTAGAAGATGGGCCATGACACCAGGAATGGAGTGGAAACACTAATTTTTGCCATGAAGAAATTTCAGGACAGCAGTGATATATTTTCCTTAAAGATCCAAAGAAAGCAAAGATCTAAAAATAAGGTTTCCTTCATCAGACACCCACAGTATACACTGGAAAGCAAAATATACTGTGGCTAATTAAACCTAGGAGTAATTTAAACCAAACAAACTGATATTCAGTGGTGATGATAGTAAAATTCAAGCACAGGCTCCAGAGTGTCTTTGCGGTGTCTGCTGGCCAAGGACTAACATAGCAACCCTACCTATTTTCTTGTAGCCAGTGCATTATATTTAATTCTCTTAGCCACAGCAGCCACCTTTACATAAAGCAGAATAAAAAAATTAACTGTAAGGCTTTGATTTTTCTCCTTAAATACCACAGGCAGAGATATAAAAGACAGTCTACCAAACAACAAATGCGTTCCCAAAAGAGGATGGGGAGACAATCAGCTGCCACTGGTTGGGACACTGTTCCAGTATGAGGCTTACTGGGACTGAGCACAGGTTTGGAAGCGTTATCAGACCCGTCTGACCTCACATGCTGTGCATCAACCTCACAGCTGGTTTCCACCTCAGGCTCCTCAGCAGCTCACATGTTTTCAACCCATTGCAGTGGCCTCTGTCGTGCTTCGGGACCAAACACAGCAGGTGTGGTTAGTTAATCGCGCCTTTAATCTGCTCGGCTCGGTACATGAGAGAGGCACAAACACAGCTCAGTCCAAATGGAGCTGGGAAAGAAGCATTAAGTCACAGGGCAAGTATTTATGCAATGGATAACTAGTCCCATGGAGTAAATGCCTCCCTTCATTTCACCCAGACGGCTATATTGACCCTTTTCTGTCTAGAACCCAGATGTTGGTGTCTTTGTGGGTCATTACTGATGCTCACCTTTTCCACAGAGCTTTTGAGTGAAACAGAGAGCTTCAAAGTGAAATATTTCTGATGCTTTGTATGGAGCTGGGTGCAAAACAGCAGGGCGTGATCGGCCATCGGCATTTTTCATGCACACCTCCATCATTTTGTATGAGCTCATGTGCAGATTTGGCCTTGCTTTTCTGCTGGATGAATCTCAACAGAGAGTATGTGCTTTTGGGGAGGATCAGGGGAGAATTTGTCTCACGGAATAGTTGTTAACAAGGCTTGAGAGGCTGTTGTGCCTGAAAGAGGCATAGATGTGCCCAGGAGAATCTATCAGCCCCCCAAAACCAGACTTGGTCCTTGAGGAAAACAGAAAGAAAGTCCTTGAATGCTTTTGATACCTCATTAGTTTTAACAATTTTGTCATCAGTTTATTTCTGGCAAGTGGAGTTTCATCAGGTGCTGAAGCAGTTTGCGCTAGGAAAATGGCATTTTGCCTCCAAGGACGGAGCCAAGAGCACTGTTTAAAACCCCGTAACTTTTCATGTTTTATGAAACCAGATGAGATGGATTAAATCTACTGCTTTGTACTTTCACTTTCTTTCTCTTAAAAAGTGACCTCCTAAACTCCCAGAAGACGACACTCTTCTATAAATGCTATCTGAGCTACAGCACGGCTGTGCAGGAATGGAGGGCTGGCTGTTCTGTACAGTCAGAAAGCAAAAACTGAAATGCATTCAGCAGTTCTCCTTTAGTTCTCACTAACTGGCCAGACAGAAAGCTATTCCCCCTGATTGTCCTGGTTAATTATTTGAGTTCCCACCAACCTGCTTCAGAGGGCCTTGAGTCACCCTGATAGCACAGAAATCTGCAGCTTCATAGACCCTACAACCTTCACTCAGATTGCCAAGGGATCTGAACTCACAAAGGGATTTATCCATCTGGGACAAAAAATCTTGCATAACTCTGGCACTAGCTCTATGCGCACGTGCAAACCTGATTTTTTAATTACCTCATTTTTCACAAATGCTTATAGTGAAGTAGGTTGGCCTGCAGTTATAAAGACCATTATGGAACCTATTTTTTTATTCAGATTTATTTTCTAATTTAAGGGCATGAAATCATGATCACAATATAAAAATTAGCAACCTTGGGATTTTGATATCTTACTAAGTGGATGGCTGCTGGATGAACATTAGATTGCATTCCTAGGAGATTATGCCTAACAGGAATGCAGTTTGGGTGATTGGTTCAAGGTTGCATCGTTTTGAAATAGTTGTAAGATCTAAGGCACTAATTTAGAAAAATGAACCTGCAGTAATTGCATGAAAACAAATAACAGCCCTTGGCTTAGCTGTATCAAATTGGTCAGAGGATATATTAATTTTCTACACGAATAATTCCTGGTCTTGTTTTAGTTCAGACAGCTCCCTCATAGCCTTCCTACCCAGTCCGTCAAGCCTTTGCACATGTTATTCCTTCACTCACATTTAATTTTGTATGAGTCATTTCATTTATTATGAGCTTAACTACTTATAGACATTGTTTCTCATTGTTCAGTGACAGTAAATATAAATTATATTTTTGAAAAGCTAGTATACTTCCACACAAATATATGCATTAATAAATGAAGTCTACTTTTTCAAGTGTCTGCTGTGATTGATATAGCAGGAAAACTGATGGACGTCGGAGCTATCAAGTCAGCATATATCTACTCTTTTAAAAATAAGTTAACCACTTAGCCCCTTTTCTACTTTCTCTGGATTTGCCAATGCCTGGGTCGGGGTCCTCTGTCCTGCATATGTGCAAGGTTCTGTCTCTCTCAAAGTTTCTTCTATATTCATCAGTGACTGGGAGTTCACTGAGAGGAGACCTTCAGCATCTCAGAGGAGATCACCACCCTCATGTCATTAGGCTTCTGACAATCAGTCCTTTCACTTTCTCTCTCGTATGTTTATTCCATACAAATTGAACATGATAATCTCAGAGCTTTATACATATTTAGGGGGCCAAGGAGGAACATTCTTCTGCACTAAGTTACTGAACCACATTTTGGTTATGTCAGTGTGATGCCCCTGGGAGAGGGATGTTAAATTGCACCGTAACTCCCTTCTTGGAGAAACACGACACATGAGTGTTTCCATCTCAGCATGGAGCTGGGCCAGGTTTGCATCCAGACCTGGGTGTGAGACATTCTCACAGGGCTCACAACTGAGACACAGCATATGTTCCTCAAGTGCTTGGGATCAAAGCAGAATCTAAACCTTCCTGCAAGTCAGGGCTGTCCTGAGTTTATTTTTTCCCATGGAAAATATACAGACAAGCTGTTGAGTTCAAATTTTTAGTTCAGATACATTGTTTCTAATGAAGACAACAGAGTCTAATTCACAAACCATTACAGAATCAACCTGCTGATTATAACGGGCCTATACGTTTTAGACTTCGAGGCTTAAGTGAATAAGACCTTGCACTTTAATTAGTATGTAACATAACAAGTTGGCCCACTAAAATACTGTTTGTGAGCAACTTGCAGCTGAAGGTAAGAGTATCAGAACCTGCTTTGTGGAGAACTGTCTCAGCATTTCTGTACACACAGCTGTGTATCCTTCTAGGTGCAGGCAGAAAGCACTCACATATGTCACTCCTTTTGCAGGTGGTGAAATCCAATCCCTCTGAAGAAAGCCCGCACATAACAATGACGTTGTCAAGGCACTATATGCTGGGGAAATATTTCGGCAGTCAAAGCAAGCCGTCACAACTGCAGGATTATGCAACAAATTCTCAGTCCCCATATCATGTCCGAGGTCCAATAAATCAAGTTTATTCTGAAATCCTTCTCAGCAGGCTCTGTGCAAGTAAGAGGGAACTTGGCAGCACATAGCCTCTCTTGGATACAGGGCTGGGACTAGAGATGTGCCACTACCTGAGTGGCAATCGAAGGACTGTGGTGAATTTATGACATGCTTCCTTGATTGGCTGCACACACACCGACAGAGTTTGAGACATGTGGCATTCTTCTGAAAACTTTGTGAAGTCAAGATATGCCCTGGCGACTCTTGGTGTCAAAATGGAAGATGGAGGGATGCAAAGGAGAGAAGAGTGGAAGTTACTTGAACTGTTGCCAAAGGCTAGAACAGCTGTAGCTCAAGCAACTGCATATTAACCATAGTAAAGTGAGAGAAATACAGACACTTGAACGATTTGGAAAGGACTGCTTTAGCTCTTCAGCACTATCTAGTTTTTCTATTTATAGAGACATTGTAATTTTTGGATGTATTTAGAAACTGGCTACATTCCATTTTAAAGAGTTTTATTTTGTGGATGGGTTCCTCTTCAATGTCAAACCTTTTCTATTTAGACACTTGCTTTATACAATTTGCAAATATCTATTAGGATTTTACTGATGACACCAGGTTTTGAACTCTAGTGTTTTTAGTGAAAACGCACCCCTTCTTTCTATCTTAGATGGAAGAGATGTCTACTTTATTTTTTGCATATTCTAAAGCTAATGTGGAGATAGATTACTTAGACCTGAGACTGATTATTATGGTCTTGATGTAACATGTAAATATAGTGAAAATGTTAACGTAACCTTATTTGTGGTCCCAGTTTAGGAGAGTGGCCATATGCAGGAAGACTGCTTAGATATGTGCTTCAGTGTCTACCTTGGCCTGGAAGCCAAGCAAGTATTCTCCTCACACAGAAGTGCCATTTCTTTTATGATTTTTTATAAAATACTTGCCAGTGTGTAAAGCTGGTGCCACAAATAGAAGAAAAACTCCCTTTGCAAGCACGCATAAGAGCTTCGGGATCTGGTTTTTAATCTGTCGTAAGGTGTATGTAATGATGATGGGAGAAGAATGTACTGCCTGCATCTCATGCTTGGCAGGGTCAAGTCGTTCCCTGAACTCCAGTTTCATGCTGTAGCCCAGTTACACTGGATGTAACTGAATGATGTTTGCAGACATACTCCGGGTGAAATCCCAGGAAGAAGCTTTACCACCATATAGGTGAACTGTCTGCTGATCCCCTGCCACAGCGTTGGAATCACATTCATTCGCAGTTGTGGTGCCCTGATAGGAAACTAAATGTGGTCCAGGCTTAGAAGGTGGATGATGGGTTAATGGCACCCCGTAAGACTGTTCTCCCTACGAATTATCCAGTTATGAGTTTTTATGAATCCAGTCATGGACAGGCAATCAAAGGCAACAGTCTCTCCCACCATGAACTAGGGAAGGGAGTCAGAACATGGTAGGTATGAGTTTAATGAAGGATCTACCGAGTTCTGTGACATGCTTCCCCCTTCACAATTTTATATATAATCCTCCACTAGCTTCTACTGCCTTTGGGAAAGGATGCAGCAAGTTATGTCAGGGAAGAAACAAATTACAGCACAGAACTTATCACCATCTGATTGGGATTAGTAGCAGACAGAGGGCCTGCCTTACATAGAATTAGGACTAGAAATTCTTATCACCACATTCAGGATTTGCCAAAGAACCTTAAACTCAGCACAGTCTGTACCCCCAGCTAAAGTTTTGTGAATTCTTGCTCCTTCAGATAGATATGTGGAGATATGATGGGAAATTATCATGCAATGTGGAGTTTGGCTTCCCTAGATGATCAGGGGATCCTCAGAAAGAGGATCTGACATATCTAATTCAGGAGGCCTTCCACTATATTGACAAAATTCCTAACTTAGACAATGACGCTATATTTAGTGAGACAGTGTGAATATCTCTGTTTCTCTATAATATGCTGCTGCTGTGCTTACAGTAAATGTCCCTGAATTTCTACGTAAGATTTTCCCTGTCATGGAGCTTTGCATGGCAGATGGGTCAGGAGCTGTGCATAGATACTGAAAATGTCAGCATTTCGTTTTGAGCAATATGATTATCTAAAGAATATAATTGTATGCAAATGATACAATATATAATCTTGGGTCTGGAACTCCAGGGCTGCACCATCTTAAATTGAAGGATTTAATAGTACATCGTTAATACCAGTAGATGAAAAATGCAGCCAGATGTCTTTGGTATTAAGATGATCAATGATAGGTGTATTACAATTCTACTTCCATTAAAGATTTTTTTTTAATTCATTTAATCCACATGCTGTTGATGTTACTGCTCTGTACACAAATGTTTTTAAGGCATGAACTGGGTTTTTATGTTGTGTTGGTTTTTTTTTTTAATCAAAGCCTACTGCTGAAACATCAGCTATAATGATGAAAAGGAAAGAACTGACTTTGTTATATTGTGGCTCATATCAGTGAACGCGCAATTCATCACTTCTGGTTTCTCCACAAAATGATTTACATGTGCTGTGCACCCAGATGTCTTAAGGTTTTCCAAATCTTAATATTTTTCAAATGTATCAAGTGGAAATTTTCGTATATGTTTTCTATTTTTTACATGCCTATGTACATATATATGTCTGTACAAAGTCATTGGTACAATTTGCAGACTGATCTTTATTTAAATGAATTCTTTGAATAAGTATTTCCAACACTGTATATGAACCATGTAATCTTAGGAATAAACAAAGGGAATGCTGACTAAAACAGGTACCAAGGTATGTTTTTCATTATTTATCTTTAAAATGTATCTAGCATCTATAGGTATGTGAAAGAAGAGAGTTGAGACTGACTCTAAAGCATTGCTTGCTCATACACATTAAAATTTACAGATTAAGACAATACAAGAATGATTGTTTGAATTCCATTGCCAGCACATATGTTGCTGACAATGTTTTTCTTCAGAATTATCACTTCTGCTGTGACCTTTTACCTGAATAAGCATTAAAGTGTTCCTACTATATTAATACTGATACATAATGTAGATTTTTTTTCCCCCATATATTTCCCTTAGTCTGACTACTTGCTGTTAAAACAGCAAAGGACTTACCTAATTGTCGAGTGAGTTCAACTTTCGAATACAGACATGAATGGTCCTGAAATTGGTGGGAGGATTGGAATAATCAGACTGGGGAACAAGTACACAGAGAAGTGGTGTTTCCTGCTCAACATCTGCCCAACAGCCCATGGAGTTTAGAGTGGAACCATATAGTTTAAGCTCCAGGTAGAGGTTCTGAAACTGTGCTGCAAAAAATAAATACCGTGACATACAAAGCAGCAATCTCAGCTATTATTGCATCCTTTTACACTTTAGCTGAAGCTACAGTATGATGTAACAGTGTCCAATGAGTTATAACTCCTCATGTCTTACGTAACTCCATAAATGTTGCACAGTGATTTGGTTTTCAGCCTTACAGGGTAGATGGCCACTATAATCAAGTCCCTTTCTGAGTGTCTTTGGAATAAATTACTATAGCACAAAATATTTCCCTATTTGTAGGGAAATGCCTGGACAAGTCAGCTCTGTCATCAGAGACGCTATGTTTCAAATAGCCTTATTTGGCAAGGAGCTGAAAGAATGAACTACGAATACTATTTTTACGCTTAGTATTCATTTGAAAATTGTAATCTTTACAATAATCTCTTTCACGCCACTAAATATAAGGCCTTTATTTTTCCCTTCTGTAACATACTAAAGGGACATCAAAGTCAATTTATTTGCTTAGTGGGTGGGGTGGTGGGGCATCCAATTACTTCAAGGTTGAAATAACCACTAATAGTTATGCTTCTGTTGCTATGCTGAGCCAACTAGAATGCTTTGAAGAAGCAGATATGTGTGATATTAAGTTGACTGCAGTCCAGGGATCTTTCAGATTACTTTTTTAGAGTAAAGCGATTTTTTAGAGGTGCAGCAAGCTGTTTGGCATGAAGTCAAACTGCTAAACAAGCCTCTGTAGGCTCACATGAAAAATATAGTCTTACTTTTTTGTTTGCCTGCAAGCCTTGCGTCTGGCTTGTTTTACCTCACTGTTACGACTATCTGTACCTGCTCTATTCCACATGAGCCGTTATTTCAGACGACCTGAGAAGTTGCTGTTTCATCTTAGAAACAACTTTCGGAAATCTGAGAGATGATTGTTGAAGATTCAGGCTGAATCTTCAAAATATCAATGTTATTACCTTAATGTTTTTGTCAGTTCCAACAGCAAAAGATCTACTGAGTGCAGTATGGGTAGAGCATGACTTTTCTCTAGGGCAGTGATTTTCTCCGATGAATTTAAACCAGCTGTGTTGTGGTAAATACTTAGCATGCACTAGCACTTAGCTCTTCATAGACGTTGCATTTACCGAGCCAAACCCCATCTTTCAAACTCCACTGCCATCTTTACCCATGAAAATCTTCAAAACACCAGAACAGTCAGTGTATACTGCAGGCACACTTGTGTATTGGTGCTGACACATATCCTGCAGTATTTACCGGCAACTTCACTCCATCCATTGAATGGAAAAGCCCTGACTACACAGTAAAAAGATACTATGCATCTTAACCTTACTTGCCTGTTGTTTGGGGGTACTAAAAATAGTGTTACATGTGTCAGTCTAGATCAGTAGCTAGGGCCAAGTGCTCTAGAAAACTACTCAAGTAATTAAGTTGTATGGGCAAGATGGGCCCATACAGTCACAATGGGGGCTCTGGCAGCACCAGTTTTTATTGCGATGGACTTCTCCCTTTTCTAGGTTCATCCATCTGGCTGCTTGGCCGGCTCCCCGGCAGCTGTGGGCAGCGCTTCCTGCAATCCCTCAAACATGTTGAACAGCCTTGGCAAGGTGCACCATGTTAAGTAGCCCTGAACTGAAGATAAAATGTACAGTTAAATGAAATCTGAACTGAGTTTTTTGTGAAACACAGTGCCTACTCAGCATCTCCTTCATTTCTTCTAGAATTGAGCTGCTCTAATGAGGAGCAGAATACAGTCTCTTTCAGCTGAATCTCAGATAACTGGGCCTTTTCTCAACCTTCGACAAACTTTCTTCCCACTGCTTGCTTGCATGAAATAAAGGGAGGGATCTTCTCTGCACACTCCCACCTAACAGGGCGAGATGAGCTGTGTTCACACTCAGTCACTGCAGTAGGCATTGCCCTCATATACCTTATGGGGACAAAATTTCCATGGCAGAAGGTGTTTTCAATATTGTGATTTTTTTATTTTTTTATTTTTATCTGTCTTGAGCAGTGGGAGGAAATGTGGTGAAAACAGCCAGTGCCTGGCTCAGGATCTGCCCACGCATCCTGCCCTGGTGCTGCTCTCAGGATGCTCGGCAGATTCTGAGTGAAGACAAGACTGCAGAACTGAAATCCTTGAGAGAGGAATCAAAACGCCTCAGACACCTGTTGGCGAAG